GTCGTGATCAGTTCGCACACCATGCTCACTTACAATGTGACCTAAGTAAAGCACCTCTTTCTGAAACAAGTGCCATTTCTTGGGATGGAGTTTGAGGTTTGCTGCTTTCAAACGCTTGAATACTTCCTCCAGCCGGGACATTTCCTCGTCAAAAGTTGTTGCAAATACAATGACATCATCCAGGTACACTAGGGCTATCCTCTATTGTAGGCCTTCCAATACTCGTTCCATCAGCCTCTCAAATGTTGCTGGAGCATTACTGAGCCCGAATGGCATCACTCGGTATTGCCAGAGACCTTAGCTATAACTAAATGCAGTCATAGGTTTATCTGATTCAACCATTTTCACTTGATGGAAACCTGACTTTTTCTGTAACTGTTGGAGACTTTCTCCCTGTTTCCTTTCTTGTTCCAGTTGCCACTGCTGTAATCGCTTATCTTGTTTATTTTCTCGTTCTTCTTGTTTCTTTTCTTTTTCCTCCAACCACTGCTGTAGTCTCTCTTGTTTATTTTTCTGTTCGAGCTGCCACTGCTGTTGTCTCTCTTCTTGTTTCTTTTCTTTTTCCTCCAACCACTACTGTAATTTATCTTCTTGTTTCTTTTCTTGTTCTTCTTGTTTCTTTTATTTTTCCTCCAACAACTGCTGAAATCTCTCTTCTTGTTTATTTTGCTGTTCGAGCTGCCACTGTTGCAGGTTTTCTTGCAACTGCTGTTGTCTCTCTTCTTGTTTCTTTTGCTGTTCTTGTATTGCTGCCATCAAATCTGCTAAGCTGTAATTTTATTTGCCACCTCTCGTTTCCATCTTCTTCTTTTTTTTATTTTTATTTTCTGTCCTACTCTCTGACACCAATTTGTTACGTTTCTGTGTTCGTTGGTTAATTTTCCCTAGGAATTCTTTCCGAAGAACTTCAGTGATACAAGTCCTTTCTTAAATAAAACTAGTTTATTCTTTCTCAATTCAACTTAGCAGTACACTTAATTTTCACTGTCACTTTAACTTAAACACACGCTAGAATTCACAACGATTCACGCACTTTACTTACGGCTTGACTCGATTATCTGTCTCTATATCTCTCTGTCTGTAATTCAATTATTGCCGTCACTTTATTTGCCGGCTTATATACTATAAAAGCGCGCATCTGTCAAACGCTAGGACGTTCGACAGCTTCCTCGATCTTTCTAGAATTCCAGCGCATGCTCCTAGCATCGCGCGACTTCCGCTGTCGTAGCAGTACATTAATAACAATCATTACACTATAAAACTGGGGAAATTTTTGCATTGATTAACCTACCTTACTCAATTGTTACTGATGAGGAAATGAGAGGGGGGTTGTTTGGTGAAGAAAACAACCTAAATACGAATTACTGAACACAGCTGGTTTTCTGAACAAACAAAAAAGTGGTCCCAAATATAAATGAAAGATACAAGACTGAAATTATAAATCAAATTTTGATTTTCAGTGCCATTTCTTTAGCATCAAGTACTTAGTCATGCTTAGCAACAGCCTTAGTTTCATAGGACACAATGTCACAGAACACGCGAATTTACAACGTGCAGCTCTTAATGTCAAGTCGCCCTGGGCAATAGTTAAAATGTTGGAAGATGTAATGGATATTTTGGAACTCGAAAGCAAACACGTAACTCCTAATAAAAGATAATGGATAAGATGTTTTGCAAGTTTCTAACGATACTGTATTGAATTATGTTTCCTCCACACATTACAGTCGGTGATCATGAATACTCTGGAATCTCAGCAAGCAGTTAAACAGTCAATAGAAATATTGTTACACATGCTAATTACTCGTCTATAGCACGTTAAAAATTATCACTTATGAAATGACTCAAATATGCCTCAAAATGAGTTTTTACAATATGTAATTCAACAAACTATCACTTTGAAAGGCTTTTGGAATAAAAGAAAGAACTGTGGATATTTCTCATCGTTATCCATCAAAAGATAACACCAGCTTCTTTGGACTGGAAACAATATAATGCATCTCTAAAATAAGGACTTGAAACTAGAATTGCTAGAGCATAGAGTAATACAAATTTCACCTTCACCACTTGCTTTAATGCAGCATTTCTAAAGAGCAGCAGTACAAAGCAGTGAAAAACATTTGATGGGGAATGCACTGCCACTTCCACAGAGCGACAATATAAACCGTTATCGTGATGGAAACTGAAAATTAAAGACATTTCCAATACTATCTCAGTACGATGATTCCTATCAACCTTAATCAGCAATGTGTGTAGTGAGCGTCTGTTCTCAGAATTTGGCAACATTTATGCAACAAGAAGAAACCAGTTGTTTCCAGAAAACGCATAGCAGCTACTATTCTTACATTATAACCTTAAACTACGTATTTAACCTTAAACACTAAATAAAGATATCTCAATGAGAGATCCTAATGGTAAAGGAGCATTTGTAGTATCATAAGTGATAAGCTAAGTGTGATATAAAAATATAATATAGTCTTATAAAAATGCAAAAACAAATACTACTAATACTTTTTCTGAGAACTTATTAATAGATCTTTATTAATACGAAAACGATACCTTTATAAAAACGCTTTAAATGAATATGAAGTTCTTTTAAAAAGTTGGGAGTTGATGGTTAATGATTTAGAAAAGGTTGATTAAAATGACTCAATTAAACTGATAAATATTACGATGATTGCGTACGAAAATATTCAGTCGCCATAACAATATTCAGTCGCCATACCAAACCTATTTCAATTCACTTTAATCAATAAGATTTTTGTGATTTTTATAAGAAAGCATGGTCACATGATTTGGAAAATATCAAAATTAAACGGATTTATGCACACAAACATAAGATATATATTATTGATAACTAAACTGGTATAACATTTTTTGTAATCTTTACTAAAAATCAAACTTATTAGTATTTTTACTATTCTACTTTAATAAATTAACTGACTTTCTCTATATTTTTGTTATTTATAATTTCCTAGTATCAGATTCAATATGCGGGTTTTTAGGCTGTACTGTTCATAATAAACAAATTAAAATTTCAACCATTCAGCTGCCGAATAGCGACTAATATCCGAATAGGCCAGATACCGAATATAAATTACAACTTTATTTTTAATACACGCACGAGTTGTAAAAATATGAATACTTGCAACTTCATATTCATTCTTCACACTTTATACCTCGTTAATGGCTGTGAAACCTAAAATTATAATCTTTATGTCTGTTAATGCTACATGGAGTTTGGTATTTGACATACTTCCTAAAATTCACATTCAGCCTCTATCATATGAATACTACTTTGATTATAATTCAGTATCTTGCCTTATTGTATTCTATTATAATATTTCTAGGATAACATTTCCGAATAAGAATCTAAACTAGAAACTATATGCTGGAACTAGAGGTCGTGATACTTTTTATTTTAAATAGGTAAACCTAAAATTATGTTTAAACTGATTTTCTAGGAATGAAAGTCAGTTAAATTGAGTTGTGAAAGTATGAAATACACTCTAGTTCTGAAATTATTATTCTACCGTGATTGATAGAACAGCCTGCTTGTTTATTTGTTTTTTAACTCTAGAGAATGATTCCATTGTGCGACACAGTTCCTTTAAACATACAGCAAACGTTAGAACAGAAATGATCCAAGAATAGCGTTGTTCCTCTCTTTAAGCGACAAGGCTTACTTAAGCTCTTTCTTAGCTTGTTTACTCAAAATTGCTGCAACGCAAAGTCTTTAAATACCACCCTTAAGTTAACTAAGTAGAAGTGGATGTAGTAATACTTTTCGAAGATGTGCAGGAGTGTTCAACAGATGAAACAAAAGATCATAGTGATACCGTGGAGGAATGAATAGATGGTTTGATTATAAATCATTATAACACACCATTTACTTTAATAACAAATAATAATAATAACCAAGCAAGCCAAGAACTTTCAAATGATAAGGAAACCAATGATGCAAAAATTTTAAATAAAGTTTAAAAAACACATATATAAAATGTATATATAAGAGAGATTTGATCTATCAGAGACACATATATAGACGAGTGTAAACACGTAAGAGCAAAACTAAATATAATTCACGAAACACAGGTTATATTATTGAAAATATTAACTAACGCTAATTTTTATTTGTAATCTTCTGTCTGTACTGAAATAGAAATGAGGAGAGTTGAAGATTTCTATGTAAATTAACCTTAGCCTTTACTCATCATATAACAGGTTGGAGAACAGTGCACTGCTTATAAGTTTGTATGGCAACACAGATAGTAACTGTAGTAGGTTTGTATGGCAACACAGATAGTAACTGTAGTAGGTTTGTATGGCAACACATATACTAACTGTAGTAGGTTTGTATGGCAACACATATACTAACTGTAGTAGGTCTGTATGGCAACACAGATACTAACTGTAGTAGGTTTGTATGGCAACACAGATACTAACTGTAGTAGGTTTGTATGGGATCGCGAATACTTAAGTTGGACAATTAATCTAGTTGTAGTAGTTTTTCATTACAAACTATTTAAATTTTTATACGTAAAAAAATCTAAGTAATCTAAAAATACTGAAAAAGTCATAAAGAAAGTGATAACACCAGAAATGATTTTCTTTGACAGACTGCATTAAGCATCTAAGAAAAGCAAGGACATTTAATTTGATATTTCACTATAAATCAAGTTGCTAAACGTTTTCTAAACAAATATTGTTATTAAAATATTATTTGATATATATTAATTCGAAAGCCTGTGAAAGTGGTGTAGTAAAAGGAGGTTTTAGAGGTATCGTATTATGATTAGTATACCATGGTGTATTATGATTAGTTTACCATGGTGTATTATGATTTGTTTACCCTGGTGCTTTTTTTCTCGCCTACCATGATTATACGCTTCTTCTTTACCTAAGTGATGCAGTTTGTATTATAAATACAACCAGAAAACAGAACAGTACTTTACCTTCGTGAACAGGCAACCTGAAAAAATAAAAATAAATTAATTTAATCTTATGTTAATTTGTTATTTCATATAATACTGCATCATTCTGAATTATAAAATAGTGTACAAATAATTAAAAATTCAACGAAATCAGTTACCTTAAACGCAAACTAATGACCAAAACAACTTGAGTTCTTTCGCTTGTTAATTGTAGTTAAAGATTTTTTTAAATATCCCGAATGTAACAATAATTATATATGGCTTTAACGTTTTGGGGGGTTCATTTTATGATAAAGCAATCCTAAAATTAAAACCAATATTGGTTCAATAGAACAACATAGATGCATTTTAGAATTTATTTTGGAAAACTGGAATTTAATAACTCATGACTGACAAAATTGATAACAACTGTTGTTATATTGATTAAAATTTCAAATTTTACTATAAATATTGACGTAAGAACGTTACTTTTATGTATGGTAATAGCGAATTAATCTTTTCTTCACTACCAATAAACATTTATTTATATATATATATATATTATTTTAAAATATACTTACATCTTCGTTTAAAAGACAAATTGAACTAGAAATACTAACAGAATGTTTTATTTATAAAATAGATGACACAGTTTTTCATAATTGACCATTAATGGTACTGAAGTCCAACAGCGTCAGATTTAAGTTTCAAGGAACCAGAACAGACTCCGCTCATGCCAGAACGGGGTTAGTTCTCGTAGTATAACTCTTTGCCACTGTATAATTCTTAATCTTGAAGATAATCGTTACAGTATTAGAATGTTATGTTTCACAACCATATTACACAGGTTATTTTACTCTCAAAGTGAGATATAATATCCAGACAACTAAAAGAGGCCGAACAAAGAATTGCAACCTTGAATAGGAAAAACATATCTTTCACTACTTATACTTTTAGTTGAACATCCAGAAACTGGGGATTAAAAAGAATGCATGTAAAACATATTTAGACTCGTCGTATACATTGTTGCTGCACAAACGGCAAGAAATACAAACCAATATATATATATAACTAATTTATACTGTTATAACAAAGTAAAACACAATGTTGAACGAGAAAATGTATTTGATACGATATTCAAATAACCAGTCTAGTTTCAATGTGAATAACCGGCGTTTAATATATTAATGGAAACAACTAGGCCTTTCACTATAATTTTGAGAACCCACGAGTGAAAGCGAAGTAGAATAGGTTATAATATATCGACTACACTACATGTTATACCCAGTCCCAAGCTGTTGTCTAGGCGCTATATGTATGTGTGTTTAATGTCATCAGATTTCATTATTACCAACTGTTAGCATGTTAATTAGGTTAAGCAAGTGAATTATTATTTAAGTTACTTTACAAATCAGGTTTCGGGTTAGAATTAATAAAACAATATTAATCATTTTGTTTATTACCACTGTTTATTTATTTTTGAATGATTTGTTATTATTTTTTTATTATTGCTTCTTTTATGAGAATTAAGTTTGCTATCATTCATGATACCGACAAAACTTATCGAACGGCTGTTCAGCATTATTTGTTGTTGTTATTTCATATTTAAGAGATTTAAAACCAAAATTTGATGTCTCGGAATTTTTTTTTCTAGCAGGCATTTTTTACTGGCTTGTTTCCCCATTTTATTCTTTTCTTTGTGTACATCACTGACTTTCTCCATTCTTCTGTTGGCCTCTCTCGCGCCGTCTTCCTGTGTACGCATGACCAGAAACAGATGCCAGAGTTTTAGCTAGCGCGATCAAGGTGCAAGTGAATCGGATTTCAAGCTGCGAAATACTCGTTTAATAAAAATATTTATATATTTTAACTAGGGCTGCGCTCCTCCCTAGACAAACATCCCAGTTGCCCTCCTTTAAATCTAGCTCTACAGCCTAATATATATATATATATATATATATGCATATGTCGATAATTACAGAGGTTATTTAACACTTTGTTACTGTAAGCTTTATTTAGTGTTAAGCACTAAATCTAGCTCTAGCTCTAGCTCTAGCTCTAGCTCTACAGCCTAATATATATATATATATATGCATATGTCGATAATTACAGAGGTTATTTAACACTTTGCTACTGTAAGCTTTATTTAGTGTTAAGCACTAAATCTAGCTCTAGCTCTAGCTCTAGCTCTACAGCCTAATATATATATATATATATGTATATGTCGATAATTACAGAGGTTATTTAAC